CTAAACGATTGCTCTCTGTAGCTATCTAAAAGATTGCTCTCTGTAGCTATCTAGGAGATTGCTCACTGTAGCTATCTAGAAGATTTCTCTCGATAGCTATCTAGGAGATTGCCCTCTGTAGCTATCTAGGAGATTGCTCTCTGTAGCTATCTAGAAGATTGCTCTCGATAGCTATCTAGGAGATTGCCCTCTGTAGCTATCTAGGAGATTGCTCTCTGTAGCTATCTAGAAGATTGCTCTCGATAGCTATCTAGGAGATTGCTCTCTGTAGCTATCTAGGAGATTGTGTTCTCTAGCTGCTCTCTGTAGCTACATGTATCTAGGAGAGACTGTTGGGGAATAAATTTGGACAAATGACCGTAGATCACTGAGAAATTTACGAAGAGATACCTTATGTAGAAGGAAGATAATAAATGATTAGTACGAAGTGGGTTTTCATAGAGATCAATCTGAGATCTTTAGGAGTTTTGACGTCCGATTCCTTTCGAACCGTTGTCTCTTTTGGTGAGAGTCCAAACATTAAGGAGACCATGCGTACTGCAGAAATCTTTGAGAGGTATAGGTGTCGTTATAGGCTCCGTTGCACGGTTGTACATACTCCAGCATGCTACTAGAGGTTCGCGGCGAGACACTTTTGACTTGGCGCCGCGTAATCTCTAGCATCCATTGTAAAAATTCTCGCCGCTGAACCCCAAGTGGAAATAAATTATTTTATTAATAAATAAGGCTTTGTATATTGACGAATGGTACGAAATAATAAAATACTCAATATTTACGATAAAACTTACGCATAAAATACTGTTAACCTCTCGTATTAACAATAAATCCATTATTTTTTAAATCGAAGCAGAAATTGAAACAAGTCGTCTGTTTAAAATTCGGAAATAGAATTCAGAAAATCTGACGAAACGAAACTAGCGTAACGCAACGAAAATTTTGTTTTCTGACAATCCGCAAAATTAATGTGAAGTCAAATCGAAAGTACTTCTGGTGATAAATTGGAATAATGACAATTTTCATTAATTAACAATAATGCAGTTATGATTTCTTGTTGCTTTCATACCCCATGTAAGCACGAAGGTACCTGAATATAACTTGTTAACCGTTTATTTCACGCATAATACGTTCCGCCCAAAATCTCAGGCGGAACGAGCTCGTTAGAAAATGGCCTTCGGATGTAAGAGTCCGAGGTATATAAGGAGCGTAGGGACGTTAACCGAGGCTCTTACTTGTAGGAGTAGGTTGTACAAAGATACAAGTTTTTTTGTCACTCGGCAATATCCCAGCTCTCCCAAACGCTGTGTAAAGAGAGTTAATGGCTCCGGTATCAGCGACTTTTAATTCTGCATCTGTTTTTATCCAACCGAACATGTTGGCAGTGGCTAGTGGTTAACCCTATATAGTTCACTTTACACCAATGCAGGTACTTAAAAATCTTTGAACAAATATTTTATTTATATTTTAAAAAGTATGTCAAACTTCAAGGTCACGAGGCAAAAAAATTATACTTGGAAATGTCTTGTCACAGTTAATGTAAAAGTGAAGTTACTGTATAAAATCTTTATCTCTCCTCATTCAGAAGTTATGACAAAGGTGAAAGATTCTGTTGCAGACGGACAGACAGCTAGACAGATGTACAGACGAATGAGATTTGATGCCCCCCTCGCATTCACAAAGGCAGGGGACAATTAGAATGTAAAAAAAAAACATGATCAACAAATTCTGGATATTGTTGTTTATGTACAATTAAACTGGCAAAGATGCAAAGTTCCAGAACACTTAATAAACATGAATCTTAGAATAAATATCAAATGTCCTTGTGTGTATGAATAACATTTTTTTTCAAAGCAATAAATTATTGAATAAAAATTCATTTTACTGCATTATCACAACACCGAACGTGAAGAAATGAATAAACATTTCGTTTTCCAAACTGGAACGCTACTTATCAATAATAATTTATAATGCAGAAGAAAAAAAAACAGATTGCTTCATCTAAACAGTAGTTTTCCAAAAACAAAACCAGTAACTACAAAAATTAATCCGAATTTGAGCTCATTCGTGGTGAGTGCATGTGTCCATGATGTTTGCCTTTCTCTGGCAACCTCGTACAAGGTTAATATCACGTGAAAAACATCCGGAAGTAGAAAGCCTAAATTTCTAAATCTTTGAAAGGTATTATCTCTCCATAGTATCAATTGGACGAAAAATTGATCAACTCCACCTACGAGAATATGCACTAAACTTATCACAATTATGGAAACAACAGATCCCGACGTCATTTTGGAATCTTTAGCACACAAGCGGAAGACATTCCACGTTGAATACAGTTCCGTTATCGTAAAAAATAACTGATGGTAAAATTGGTCATAAAATCCATCGTTTGTGTAATTGAAGTATGACCAAAAGGAATAATAATTCGGGTGAATGTCTAAAATAAATAATAACAGCATTCTCCATCTGAGGTTCCTATTACTGTAAAGGTTAATAAGAAGCTTGAAAGACTCGTAGGATAAGATAATGGTTACAAGCGTTATAATCCATATGACGAGCATCTCAAAAGTGGCGTTAAAATACATGTGCTTATAGCCGGTTTTCCCTGGTCTCTCATATGATCCTGAAAAATTAGAAAACAGAATTATTAACACAGATAGGTAGATAAAATGTCAGTAGTCTTGTTTTGAGTAAATATTATCAAATGATTACCTTTCCTTTCTGATTAACAATCCATTGAGCATTATATGACATAGAGATTTAAAACTTGTGTATCATAAATTATTGGAAATAAATGTATATCTTACATGATATAGAGGAAGAGGTGGCTTAGGTGGTGCTAATTTGGGATATTTATCTCTCATTGATAGGGAGCCACTTAAGGAATATTTTTTTTAATTTGTGTGAGTTATTGGTAATTAAATGACAAAGACTTACGAAAAATACGCCTATACGTGACTAAATCTGTGTGATTAAACTATCAATTATTCATACTAATCTTAAAACATTTCTTATATTTAAAATTTTTCATTTTTAAAGCACCGAAAATGTTTTCTGTGTTTGTATTTCTCCCTCCGCTATTTCGTCATATTTCTACACCGTCTCTTTAGCCTCTTTGTGACGTCACATTAGTGCTAGCTCATCCATAATAATACACTACCTTTTATACTGTAATTATACGTTACCTTTATATTCTGTAATTATACGTTATATTCATATACTGTAATTATATGATGTAATTATACGTTACCTTTATATACTGTAATAATACGTTACCCTTTATATACTGTAATTATACTTAACCTTTATATACTGTAATTATACGTTACCTTAATTAACTGTAATTATATGATGTAATTATACGTTGCCTTTATATACTGTAATTATACGTTACCCTTTATTTACTGTTATTATGCCTTACCTTTATATACTGTAATTATACGTTACCTTTATATACAGTACTGTAATTATACGTTACCAATATGTTACACTTTATATACTGTATTTATACGTTACCGTTATACACTGTAATAATACTTTACCTTAATATACTGTTATTATACGTTAATTTTATATGATGTAATTATATGTTACATTTATATATTTTAATTATACGTTACCTTTATATTCTGTAATTACACGTTACCTTTATATTCTGTAATTATACGTTACCTTTATGTACATAACCCTTATATACATGTACTGTTAAATTATACGTTGTACCTTTATATGATATAATTATACGTTACCTTTTTGTGATGTAATTTGTAACATTTATGTGATGTAATTATACGTGACCTTTATATACCGTGATTATACGTTACCTTTATATGATGTATTAATACGTAACCTTTATATACCGTAATTATACGTTACCTTTATGTGTAATAATTATACGTCACCTTTATAGACTGTGTCAAAACAATCACATCGACACCCTGTTCTGTTTACCGGAGTCTTGTTAGGGACCCAGATCATTTTATGGATGACACCTTTATAAACGATAATTTAAAAAATCATTAGAAAATCTTCGTATTTATTCAGATTCTTTCCATTATGTACATGTTTAAGAGATGAGTTGCTATAGGCAGTAGCTATATTAAAAAGAAACACTCATTAGGCTTTTAAGGACATACGCAACGTACCTTACCTACTGATAACTTTTCAAGATACTCTTAATTTAAGATTATAGTGCCAGCAGATGTTCATAGACAAAAATTCAACATGCATTACCAGGATTTTTTGAAAGATATCAAATTATGAAAATTTTTGCATTATTCAAAGAAAAATAAACAAAAAATACAAAACATAAATTCCAGATTTTTTTCCAATCAAATTTGTTTTACAAGAGGTGTATAAGTCCATATATAGACATTTAAAGTATTGCACACAGGTCCTTCTTTTAGTGGAACTCTTCAACTCCAGGGAAGAACCCAATAATGTTCAAACTACGTTGCGTATGACCTTAAAAAAAGAGAAAAAAAACAGAGACCATGTTTTGTTGATGGGAAAGAATACATTAAGTGGATTTTTTCATTTTTTCATAATTCAGAAACTCACTCTTTTTGACAATGCAAACAGTTGAGTTTTAAATGCAAACAATTCAAATGTTCCAATAATTAAATGATATACATGTACTAGTATATGGTGCAACCATTAAAAAGGGGTCTATATACATGTACTGTAGGGAAAGAAATAAGTATTTAGCGCATACTTTTCAGGCAATACTTATATTAAATAAAACTTTCGTAGGTATTTAACAAATGTTCAAGATGATAAATAATTATTGTTATACATTTTCATTCGGTGTAATTTTTCTCTATGTGAAATCCACTTGAAATCCAGGAAGAAAAAATCTCTATAACACACTTGAAACCTTGTCACCGCGCGTTAGAATACACAGTATATAGGAACTATATGCATTTTCAATTCTCTAGGAACACCTAAATGTACAATGTTTTAACTCAATTGAATTAAAAACTATAACCCTGTTGAAATGACATCTCTTTCATTATCTTTTTTATATTTTAAAAAGAAACTTTTCATATTTTATGAAGGTTGACTTTTAGAAGAGGATCACGATGCCGGTTACAATTTTTGTCCCCCGCTTGAAAAGTGGGAGATATTAATTTGTCTCTCCGTCCGTCTTTCTGTCTGTCTGTAACGCTTTCGTTTCCACGAGATATCTCGAGAACCCTTTGAGCTTTCGCAATGAAATCTTGCATAGCAACTCCCTATATACTAAAGAAAAAGCCTATACATTTTGAGGTCAAAAGGTCAAAGGTCAAGGTCATTAATTTGCAAATTCTGTCTGTTATAACACTTTCGTTTCCGCACGATATCTCGAGAACCCTTTGAGCTTTAGTCCAGTCAAAATAGCAAAAAAATTGTAAAACCCTAAACTAATTACAGAATTTTCTTTAGTATTTTATGAAAGTTCAACATGTAGCCAATGTAATACGAAAAATCGGAAATATTTCATCAAGGCAATATTTTGAAATTTAGGTAGCTTCAGCTTTTAATTCTAATGATAAATGTGGACAGGTCTAAGTTGTGAACTGTTTTGATCAAATCAGCTAAATCTCAGAGAGAAAAATACAGTCATGTATTATTTTTAATAAAAAAAAAAATAATTATTATTATGCATCTTCTGCTTTTAGCATGAAAAAAAAAACACCTGATGCTCTGTTTCCCACTCACTATAGATCTAAAGGATTCCTTCTAAAATATAATGTCCGGAAACTTTTCTTACTTAGAATCAAAAAGACAATGTATACAAAACCAGATAATTAGTTTATAAATTTATTAAAGTACATGAGCTTTTTTTTAAGTAAAAATACTATTGGGTAATAGGGTTACACTTCTAAAAAACATTGTTCTTCTCCAAGTCCATCAATTCTCTCCCCGGCTTCTTCGTACTCATGATTATTATGGGTGCGCGAATAGTTTAGGTCAAATGTTTGGGGTCAAATTAAGATTAGTCCCTGTGATGTTTCCCGAAGTCACGTCATACTTTTTGGCTTTATTTGATAAGTTTATTTCTTCTCCATTTATTGTAATCTGCGATTCCAAAATTCTCGGTAATTACGATTTCTAAAATACACTCTGTGCATAGTGACATCAATTTAGTTTCTTCTGCTATTTCCAGTGAATGTAGATTAGAACCCCCAAAATATCGAGACAAAACACTTAGAGTAGGGAGGTGAGAAATGGAGGACTCCCGAAGTTTGTAGAACTTGTGTTCATTAATTTCGTTGACATAAATTGTTAATATGTTCAAAGCAAACAAAGGAGACTAAGGTTAATCATTTCATAAATTTAAAACAAGTCACGGTTAACTATTTCTGCTTAATCTGAAGAGAATTAATTTGGACTTTACCCTCTGACAGCGACATCGGTGATACATAGAAAATACAACGTCAATGCGAGGAAATTTTGACTGAGATGGCGTTCCATAGAGATATTACTGCAACAGGGAATTTACGCTATATAAAGTAATAAACTCAGTGGCGGATTTAAGGGGGGCGAACCCGGCGCCCCCCTCCCCCCCCCCTAAAATTGTCAACGTTTCGTCTAGAATATGTAAATATGTCTACTTAGTAGACCTCATTTTTACCCTACTAAATCTCTAGAACCCAGGAGCTTCCGGGGGCTTCGCCCCCTGGACCCCCACCAGGACTTTGCCCTGGACCCACTGGGGGCCTCAAGGCGGCCCCCAGTGAGACCCCTTGTCTACTTTTGCAATTTTGGCGCCCCCTCTAACTTCAATTGCTGGATCCGCGCCTGAAACTAATCATTTTCATAATACAGGTTTTGTGGAAAGTAAGAAATCAACAACTATTAAAACTAGTAAATATATTTTTAACTTTTTTTCCTATGGAAAGCTTATTTTAAAAAAAAAAAAAAAAAAAAAGATAAGGCCTACGATGGATTAGTAAACTAAAGCCGCTTCATGTTGAAAAGTTAGTGTGCAAAAAAGTATAAAATAATATCCTGGCTTATTTTTCTTTCCCCCTATTCAATTATTTGTTATATTATGCAGCAAACTTATCACAGATATTACTTTTTGAACTTTTGGTAAAATAATTCTTATCTATGACGTACTTTAGTAGAAAATGACGTCAACAGCGAGTAGTATGGTGCGGCATACCAGATATAAAATGAAAGTCATATTTCCCTTTCTTTCAAGTCGACTTCTATGAAAACCACTCGTCCGATTTTTTCCGATTTTTTCATGGAGTTACATTATGCTATTCTAGAAGAAACACTACTGTGAGAGAAATTCTGTTGCAATTAGTTTGAGGTCAAATTTATAATGACTGGACTACTTTTGCAATGAAATTTTACATAACAACTCCCTGTGGCCTAAAGAAGACCCCTATAGATTTTGAGGTCAAAAAGGTCAAAGTTGAAGGTCGTAAATTTATACATTCGGTCTGTATGAACACTATCTTTTCCGGGCCATATTTTAAGAAGATTTTGAGCTTTTGCAATGTAATTTAATACCAAAAATCTCTAGGACCTCTCTCACCCCTCTCAAAGTGTCCTGTCCCGTTTGTTTTTATTAGTATTTCTTGTACATTTATTACATGTCGCTATTTTTAGCACAGCTAGGGGCATGAGGAAAGTTATTACGTATCAAACAGGTTCTCAGCGGACTTTATATTCTTATTACATTAGAACTCTTTAATAAAGGTCAAATTAGACACCATGCATTGTGTAAAATTTTGACAATATCGAACGTGAATACATGTATATACATGTATGTGCCTTCATTTTTGCATATAACATTGGCCAGTTTAAAGCGGTTCGTGGTGTAATGGTATGTCTCTCGTTTCACATGTGAGAGTCTCTGGGTTCGAATCCGGACGATTCATTTTCTTTTTTTCCGAAATACTTTTTTTTATACTAAATGATAGTATTCAGCATATGAAATGAAAAATTTATGAGGCCTGGCTTGTACAAACTCATAAATTCATCATTACAGTGTGATAGATATTCCATATAAAAAGAATCTTCTATACACATAATAAAGAATAAGCAATCAAATCTTTATATCCATATTGGCATATTTTATTTGCTTCAGTATACATGTATAAATTTATTAATTCTACAAATTCAGTCAGGGGACTCCCCCCGAACTGCGCATGGTTTACTTTTTCCCCAAGCGGGGGACACAATTTCTCTGAATTAGCTTGTTTTTATGAGTTTGTATTCTTATTTTTGTTTTTAAATTAATTCTACTATTTCAGTCACCCATTTTTTTTAAACATAAAAGCATAATATGATCGGTTATGATTGTTGTAATGAATTATCAAAGACTGAGCACAGAACGTACCCCTGGGATCTGAGCTATTTTGATAAGAGAGAAAAAGAAGAAAACACACTTTTCATTATGGAAAAATCCTATTGTTTCCATTCCAAAAAACGTACAATTCACAGAAACATAAAATATGTGATGCGTCTTTTATAAAAGCTTTTATTCATTATATTAGTTTACTTGATAAAGCTTTGCCTCAATTTTTGGGAGAATTTACTCAAAAGAAAATCAAACTCGAGAGATTTTGCAGTCGGTAATAACCTTCAACCCCTTTAATCAGCAATGAACCCGGCCATCAGGCGTCCAGTGCCCAGTAGCATATTAATTAGGTCAATATCTATTGTTCATGTGGGGTGCTGTATAATTGATGCAAATCGTTCAACTTTATAAATCACGATCGTGGGATTTACCGACGAGTTTATGATATGGACCAAATTTCTGGTTCTTTGAATTAAGTATACGCGTGTTTTAAGTATTTTCAATGTTTTGGTAAACAATGTTACTATAATTAGCCACACTCCATTCATATGCCCTGTTCATACGGAGAGTTTTTAAATTCGCAGAAAATTAATGCGAAGTAAAAATAATGCGAATCAAACTAATGCGAATTAAACTGCGTTCACACGACAGCTAATGCGAAGTAAACGAATGCCAATTAAAATTTTACTTCCGCAGCCCGGCGTCAGCACGGCTATTATGACGTCATTTGCAAATCACGTCACCTTCTGCAGAGCAGATCCATTTGACATAATGTCACAGTGTCTGTACACACATTTGGATGATTAACAAACTTTTCCTTAGTTATTCACTCAAAAATAGCACAAGTACCTATAGCTGACCATCGACAAGTGGTATTTGACTAAATTTTGCCATTACGCATGCGTCAGAATTTAATTCGAATTAGCTTCGCTTAGCGTTCACACGGAGCTGATGCGAAGTAATTTATCGCAGTAAACTAATTCGAATTAAACTAATTCGCATTAAATTCTCCGTGTGAACGCTAAGCAAAGCTAATTCGCAGTAACTTTACGTTTAATTCGATTTAAACTCTCCGTTTGAACAGGGCAATAGATTCAATCTCTCACCAGAGGTCATATTATGCCGACTAAGTGGTGCTTTGTCCAGGTTTCCTCTGACGGCAGGAAGCGCTTTGTTGACGTGTCAGGTATCCATAAATATTGCGTAATTAAGACCGTTTGTTACATGACGTAAAGCAATTAGCGTATACGCTTACCGCTTCAAAATGCGATATCGATATTGCGAGAATATATAACTTGTGGGTTATATACATAAAATTACACACACAAGTAAGCTTGACTTCTTAGGTATATATTCGAAGCTAAAACTATTAGTAAGTTATCGTGTGTTTACATTGACAGCAATTCCGAGCGATGCCCCAAACCCAAGATCCAAAAGAGATGAACGAGTCCATAAAGATGGTCTATGATTAACCACTTACCTATGTGAATGAAGGGGATGACCCCCACGATCGCGGCGGCCAGGAGGCTGTGGTATTTAGCTCTACTCGTGGAGGACATGGCCGTTAATTCTTCCAACATCTCCACTTCAGCCTTTCTCAATGTCGATCTGTCATGCTATCACAGAACACGGCTCCTGAAAGAATTCAGATGAACGTTTAATCGGAAACAGCCATTATCGATTTCTACCGAGTGAGTAATGAAAAATGACGGACGTGCTAACCACACTTACATGAAGTGATGCAAAAATCTGAGGAGAGGAAGGTTAATTTCCGTACTCTCATCATTTTTGTTAAAAGCTCGGGGATGTCCTAGTAAGGAGGAATGCCACACCAACTTTTTATTTTATAGATCTCTGAGTCAACCTTTTTAAACAATGGTTTCAGCATTGAAAGGCCGATATTAGCTCTCAATTATTATACCCCCCGCAAACGAAGTTTGGGGGGCAATATAGGAATCACCTTGTCCGTCTGTCTGTCTGTCCGTCTGTCTGTGCAATCGTTTCCGGTCCATATCTTTCTTACAGAGGGACATTAGAATCTACTACTCCACACTAAGATTGCTCATGACCTAAGGGTGTGTCATGACCTTGACCCAAGGTCATTTGGGGAAGTTCAAGGTCACTGGAAGAAAAATTTCATACTTCGTGTCCGGTCCATATCTTTCCTATGGATAAACATGGTAGGTTCTCATTTCACACAAAGATTGCCCATGACCCAAGGGTGTGTCAAGACGTTGACCCAAGGTCATTTGGGAAAGTTTAAGGTCACTGAAAGAAAATTTTCATAAATCATGTTTGATACATATCTTTTATGGATAGACTTGGTAGGTTCTCATTTCACACAAAGATTGCCCATGACCCAAGGGTGTGTCATGACCTTGACCCAGAGTCATTTGGAGAAGTTCAAGGTCACTGGTAGAAAAATTTCATAATTCGTGTCCGGTCCATATCTTTCTTATGGATAAACTTGGTAGGTTCTCATTTCACACAAAGATTGCCCATGAACTAAGGGTGTGTCATGACCTTGACCCAAGGTCATCTGGGGAAGTTTAAGGTCACTGGAAGAAAAATTTCATAATTCAAGTCCGGTCCATATCTTTCTTATGGATAAACTTGGTAGGTTCTCATTTCACTGAAAGATTGCCCATGACACAAGGCTGTGACATGACCTTGACCAAAGGTTATTTGGGGAAGTTCAAGGTCACTGAATTAAAAATTTCATAATTCAAGTCCGGTCCATATCTTTCTTAGGGATAAACTTGGTAGGTTCTCATTTCACTGAAAGATTGCCCATGACCCAAGGCTGTGACATGACCTTGACCCAAGGTTATTTGGGGAAGTTCAAGGTCACTGAAATAAAAATTTCATAATTCGTGTTTGATACGTATCTTTATTAATGAAAAACTTACTTCTGAAAAACCCAGCGGGGGGGGGGGTGGGGGGGGGGTTGTCCCGTTTGGACAGTTCTAGTTTTATATGATTTTTTTGTATTTTTTCAAAGAAATGAAAAAAATTATTTACATCCAAATAAGATTTTTCTTGTACAAATTTTGCTGTTAATGAATGCATCACATGAATACCTAATAAAATATGTAAAGGAAAGCCGTAAAGATATTTTTAAAAATTTAAATAAAATAAATATTTATGAAAATAAAACACATAATTTGTGAATATTTTTTAAACTTGTGGTTAAAATCTTCTTAAAAGAAGTCACAACTGGAAAGAACATGTTCATTAATCATATTTATAAAAGAAATTGAAATGAAATGGCCAAATTTTAGAGAAATTATTTTTTTTAATTTAGGCCAATCCCGATCAAAATTATTAAACCGATCCCAACCATAATTGTACAATTATTGGAAATAAATAACATTTTCCTAAGAACACTAGTCTGATTAGGTGTAATAAGTGTTAAAACATTATTGAACTTGACAATAAAATAGATTTCTTCATTGTAAATACATGAAGAGGCGATAAATATTCACAAATAATGCGTTTTATTTTCATAAATAATTTTTTTATAAAAAAATTAAAAAGTCTTACCAGCCTTTCTTTACATATTTTATTAGATATTCATATGATGCATTCATTTACAGCAAACTTTTAACTCGAAAACAACTTATTTGGATATAAATAATTTTTTTCATTTTCTTTGAAAAAATACAAAAAAAAATTCATATAAAATAATTAAGAGCTAATACCGGCCTTTCAATGCTTAAACCATTGTTTAAAAAGGATGACTCAAAGATCTATAAAATTAAAAGTTGATGTGGCACTCTACCTTAACTACATTTAAAAATTTGTAAAAAAAATTCCGAAGCAAAAAAATCCCTAAAAATTTAGAAATATCTTCTTTATTTACAGTTAAAATATTTTTTCAGGTTTTAATTAAGCTTTATTATAAGTTCCATGTTTTTCTTAATTTTAAATATTTCAATTATAATATCCGTTATGTAGCATTGCTATTTAAGCCAGTTATTTCCAATTATAGAAATTTGAAAGAAAAACTTCCTCTTTTTCCTTGAATGCCTGCATACTTGAATTCTTGTGAGAAAATTTGTTAAGTAGCAATACATCAATGATAATAAATTCTTGGGGAAACTGTATAACTGAAGAAAGTTTTTTCTCAGATGTCAATATGCACAAAAGAAACAAGGACTGAACAAGTACTTCACCACAAGATACAATTTAATTATACATATGATAGCATTTAACACTAATCAGATGCGGTGACATGGTGTAAAATTTCCTCAAAGTGTTCAATAGAACGAACGAACAATAATAAAAATAAAGAAAGGCGTGCTTTAAAATCACGATATCGTCGGATACCCACGGATAATTTCGTCTGTATCTCATCATATACCGCGATGTTTACACCAGGGAAAATCATATTAAATGTCTTACAAAGTGTTGGTACTCAGGTAATTACAATTAAATTATACCTACTTAATTCATCCCTTGAAGATATACATATGTAAAATAATTGCATCAGTGAGAACGAAAAGTCACTGACTAAATATTTTACAGGCCGCTCAAAATGGGGAGGGGGATGGGATGTAAGCAAATATCTTTCTCCTCTATAAACCTGCTCAGGGAATACTTATACATAGGCGTAGTTACAGGGGGGCAGCGGGGGCACAAGCCCCCCCCCCCCCCCACTTTCAGATCGGGGGGGGGGGGGGGGGGGCAAGAGTATGTCTGTGCCCCCCCCCCACTTTTTAATGAAGAAGAAAATCAATATATGAAATAATAGTAATTAATACATAGTTGTATAATAAAATTGTGTAGAAAAATTGAAATTGAAAATAATTTGCCTCTGTTATTCTTTTATAGTACATTATTTTAAAACACAATCAATCTTATTTTCGGGACTTATCTGAACGTAAGCCCAATGAGATATCAGTTTTAGATATTCTGTAAGTCTTACACATATGAACTTGTTATGGACTTTTCTTATTACTTATTTCGTTATAAGTTCTGATACTGAATTTGAAGAAGGACTTAATATCAAAGTTAATAGGCTTTGATACAGCCTCTATGAATTTTTAAAGAAGTACCTTCACTTTATAATCTCAAGAATTTATCCGCTCGTGCAATACTTAAATATCCAATGTTGTTGCAGATAGAATAATAAGCTTTGTTGATATAATTCGTAAGAAGTAAATCCATTTCTTCTTGGTAAGCCGTTCGCTTTATACATACAGTTCATTGAAAATTAAATCTAACCAGAAAGTTGCACTATTTCTGCAACACCTGATATAATTACGATGTGAAATTGATATGATATACGAATCGGTGTATGAAAGCTACTGTAGCAGAGTATACTGATATTCAGGCTGTTGAACCCGGGATGTGTGCATTTTTTTTTCACGTATATTCTTTTCCTATACAGTGTACAGTAAATTTTCAGTCAATTGCTGGTTGCGCAATACTCGTCTCCTACCCCATATTTTCATGATTTCAGATCAAGCACTGACAAACTCTAGGACTTCGGGGGAAAAGTACTAAAAACATAAAAATAAATATCTTAATCTCAATTTCAAACAATTCAAGCCCTTTTTTAATGTTTATCCCTACTCTTTCATTACCGTTGCAACTGGCCTGATTTCGATAAAAAATCAATGATGTGTATATTTTTCTTGTTGTCACACTTCGGTGGTCACAGCATGCTGTTAGTCAGGATAATGTAAATACGAGATCAAGTTTAACTCCACTTAGGGTATTTAAAAAATCAGAAAGAATCTTGACAGAAACTTCATATACTAATCTCAATTACCACAACTGAAGTATAATAATAAAGTGCATTCAATTAATGCCCTGATTCAATAAATTTATCAATTAAAGCGTACACAAGGACCTACCTCTGTATAATGCAATCTAAAGTCATTTAAAGTTCGCTTCACACTGTTCATATAATCAAACCACTTTCAGATGGCAAGGGAAATCACTCTAAATGGGACGATGTGACCAAACCTGCAAACCTGCGTTCAATTTCCAATGTAGAGTTATCATTCGTTACTCTCTCAGAAAGCTAACGTCATGCATGAGTATTTGACATAAAACGTGATACAGTGTATTTCAAGGATTGTTTCAAATTTAACTACTAGTTCCAGATTTATTTAATATACCGGTATATCTATCTTAAAGTCAAGATCTAGTAAATGAAAGGTGCCTACAGATTTATCAAACTTTATAAATAAATTCCTTTATTGATGCTTTACAACTTTAGCTTGGTCAAATAAGGTGTTTCGGGGCATAAGTTGTAGGTTAACAAGATGAAAATATGTATTTTAAACTGTCATTTTCAATGAAAAATTAAGAAAATCAGTAATGAATACGGGAGTTTTTTTAGTATTCGGCAAAGGAACTGTGTCCAGATTGCCTACAGTGTCTCGGAAAACGGTAATTAGTATGTTCATGGCCTCTTCTTTAAAACAATATCAAATTTAATACATGTATCCGGTTTACTTTTCATGTGATTTCAAATTGAATGACATGAAAATACCCTATTTTCTACGTAATTCTGCCAAAGCCATAAAGTACGGGAAAAAGAAAGTTGAAATTGATTATGACGTCATAATGGATCTAGCACCAAAAAATTAGTCTCAAGTTATTTACTAAATTTTGACATTAAAACATAAAAAGTAAGCACAGACATGTAAGTTAAATGGATTC